TTCACTGCAGTCTCAACAAGTTCTTGTGTGGGGCTTGAATCCACAACCTTCTGACCCAAAGATAACAGTTCTACCAATTGATCCAAACTAAATTGAATTATCATAATATCCTGTAACATCCGCCCATGGGCATATAGGATCATAGTGAAACAATACCATCAAAATAATTTAAAACAGCAATATCTGACTCTTTAACATCTCTGAGTTAATCATTAAATACTGTGAAATAAATTATATAGTATAGGTACTGTTCGAGGACCTTACAATCCAATAATACCTAAAGTAAATTTTTAAAAAAACAAAAAAAATAACTGTGAAAACTTTTATATGCAACTATCTGGAATTCAAAATTTAAAATTACACATTGATGTGTAAAGATGTGTGAATGATGAGCCATGATGACTTCATTATTGTAAAATGGTTTGCTGCAATTTACAACAAACGTATTGCTAACCTGATGGAAAATGTTACATTCTGTGTCACGACTCTGATAATGTTATAGCCTTCGTAAATCAATGTTACACCTGTGAAGCCATAACATACGCAACTGATCAATCTCAGCTGGTTAATATTTTGAAAGAAAACAAACATAAGAGGGCTGTGATAAAATCTCCTGATGCAATAACTGGGGTTGAGTGAGGGAAAGTGAGTGAGCTGGGGAAACCTTTTATATAAAACAAACATCAAATACTCTCTCTTTATGAAATATTGGAATTGAGAAATTTTGACCAAAATGTAATGAACTAAAATAATGAATGTACGTATTGGAGAATCTCGTTTATTTTATATCTTTCATGACTTGTTGAAAATTGATAGATAGGTCTATTCCATCTCATTGATATACCATTGATACATAGGTCTTTATAAAAATATATAGGTCCACAAATAAAATGGTCTCTGATCTGGCAGTTTGTAGACAATACAGTATACAAATTGGCTGCCATGTTCATCTGCAAATAGTGACTACACTTTACAGTAAATCCTGTGAAGTGCTTTGAAACATCTGATGATGTGATAAGGTGCTATATCAAATGTAAGGATTATTATATTTAAAATTTTGAAACTATAACAAGAGCCTGCAATATTGTCCAAACTCAAATGTTATAAATAGTTCCCCTCAATTATGACTACAAGCTACTCAATAATCCCCACTTGTATCCCTTTTGGGTTGGTTATAAAATCGAAAATATAGTACGAATGTACAACAACAACTTGCACTTATATAGTGCCCTCCACGCAGGGCAGCAGCTCAGAGCGCTTATGTACAAGGATATCCTGAACACTGCTTCAGAGTAATGGCATCCTCATTGGATGGGAATACTCCAAAGACCAAAAATGCATTTGCCTCTTGGAGAAAGACGGATTTGACTTTGGATGAAGTGCTTTATAATGAAATATTGATAATTTGTAAATTAGTTCTTGAGGGTCAAAAGGCTAAATTGGAACGCCATCACCTCCCATTATAGTGCATCAGTTTATATCCTCTAATGTTATTAATGTCCAACTATTCCCTATGGGAGGCTAAAACAGTATCGTTCTCTAACACAGGGCCCTATTTCATTCTCATCATATTCAAGATTTCTAGCTTAAGGATGTAACAATACATGTTACCACCCCAAGGAAAATTATAACTGCAGCCACTCCACTCTCAGTTTGCCATTGAATTGTTGAATTTGCCATTCAATTGTTGCTTTCATTTCACAGGAACACACTCCACTGAAACCATTCTACCTACAGTTTAAGTTTGCATGAATGGCTTACCACAGTTTGAATGGCTTCACAGAATAGAAATATTCATTGAGCATACCTACCTACAATGTTGAACTTCCTATTCAGCATCAATGAGAGATGTTTCACTAATGTATGTGACTAAATCTATGTGATTATGGAATGAAGCCTGCAAATTCTGAGTTTCATTTTAATGATTTGATTGATTTACAAAATATTTTAAAGTGATAAATATTGATTGTACATCATCAGGAAAGATGTACATCATCAGGAAAGATGTACATTATCAGTACATCTGGCTGATCCTAAGGAAGACTATGGGGAGGGGGGTCTCTAAAAATATCCATACTCTTATATTTAGTATGCTTATAGAGCAGATGATTCCAAGAGTCACCCATCATTTAATTTTCATAACCATTATTTTAATTATATTTTAAAGTAGTGTATTTATACAATTATTAAACACAGATGTTGGGCAAATTTGCTCAAAATAGCTCATTTTGTCTTCAGGCATTTCCAAGCAGCCATACCAATTAAAATGCATTAGTGATAATGCAGACTGCACAGTTACACAAATTACTGCATTACTAACATTAATAAGGGTATGCTTACTTCAAATATCCAAATTGTGAAGGAATTGCTAATGCACCTGGAGAAAGAAATCTTAAACAGTGAAATTAAGCAAAACAGAATTAGTTAAAATCCAGTCATTTTACAATTTAAACCCTAAGGAATGCTGAGTTCACGAATGAAGAATTCAAATGGCTTTGCAATCAGAAGGGTGGTGATACTGGATTAATTTTAAAAAAGGCTTGATTCTACAATAGCAAGATGGTAGAGTGGGTATTCTCAAAGGGTGACATCAAATGGCCTTCTTCATCAGTAATTCTCTTGTGTTTCTATTTTGTGCCAAAATTGTCTGCAACTTGTATTAATACTGTAATTTGTGGTTACATGACTAATCACACCATTTTAAAATCAAAAAAGGTTTTAAATTAAACATTCTTGGTTGCTTATTAGGCAATAGCTATAACAATAATCCTTGAATTTGATATAGCGCCTTATCACGTCATTGAGATGTCTCAAAGTACTCCACAGAATATATTGTAAAGTGGATTGACTTTATATGTGGCCGCCAATGGCGCACAGCAGTGTCTCACAAACAGTAGTGGATTGAGTGACCAAATTAATATTACTTTTTTGGAGGCATTATTACCTCTGCAAACCGATCCGCCAATCGATTAACAACCAGGTTCCTACTTATTCCTAGGTAAACAGTTTATTTATGAAATTAGGATTAGAATTATAGTTCGAAGGCAGTTCAGAAATACATTTGCAATCCAATAAACCTGAAAATATTTTACCCCCATGAATATTGTCATCTTGACACTGTCAGTACCTGTATTTCATTCAGCTTTGAAAGGGTTACCATTTTAAGAACTAATCTCTGCTTTTACATGTGTATAGGAAAAAGTGAAACAAAGTTTCTCAATAATACTGCTACACAGAGAGCTTTACAGATAGCTGGAATTAAAAAAGGATGTTGACCTGCAGTTTACTGTATCCTATGATATGGTCACATAATCTCTATTAGCTCAGACTAACATCGATTTACAAAGCATGTCTTGCAGAAACATCAGATATATTGATTTGCAGAATTACATAATTCAAAATATTTTTAATCAACAATTTACCATTAGATGAATGCACTTTGTAAACAACAAATTAATATTGGACAGACAAATATCAACTTGGGATAACCACAAATCTCTGGACAAATACATGTTTAATTGACTATGACCAACAGATATTTTTCTGAAAACACTTGAAGGAAACTTTATGGTGAAACCATTTCAAAAAACAATTTAGTATCCAGCTCAAGTAGTAATATTCCCTGCATTTGCCAATGCTTTAATATGGGATATTGCTTATTCATAAATCATACAGCTAATCATACATGAACACCTAATGGAAAAGTGTTAGTAGAGACTAAAGGGTAAGTATCTAGACTACAGCTTCTACTTTTTAGGAATGACTTCCAGCCAATTGCTGAAATGCTCCAGTTGAATGTGTTAGCAGATTAAATAAACTCAATATCTAATAATCTGAACACAGTTAAACAAGTACTGTTTCCTTTTGTAATGAATACTTAAGATTACAATAAAGGTACGGAAGAAGAAAGTCCTCCCTCACCTGATCTCATCCTTTCAGAATACCCACCCTCCCATCTAGCTGTTTCTTAAATAAGTAGTGTCGTGGCATCCACCACCTTTCCTATTCTGGACATGAGTGACAAGTCCAGGTCTAGTTCAGCTATCCTCTTGGCAAGTTCATAGAAGACCTGTGCCTCATATTTTTACTTCTCATATTCTGTACCTTGCATTTATCTACATTGAACTTTATTCGCCAGAGGTTTCTTGACAAGATCTTGGCTGCCTCTTCTGATTCCACAGCTCCCCCTAGCTTGGTGTCATCTATAAATTGAACTAATTTGCACAGAGTATTCAAATCCAGGCCATTTATAGTGAGCAATCATGGTCCCAGTACTGATCGATGATGACCCATACAACACCATTTCAACCTAGCATTCTTAAACTGCTTAAGATTTCATAAACATAAGATATAGCTACAACAAAGTTGTACATTTTGGAGAATCCCCTGCTATTATCATGATTATTAAGTAATAGATAAGGTCAAGGGATTAGTTTCCCCATCCTCTTGACACACACTTGTCGCCAGAGACAATGCTCTAAGCTAAATGACATATGACAGTATAACCCTGCTGAAAGAATATGGCACCTTACTGGCCATTTTGAACGATACACATTATTTTACTAGTGTCTTCTAATTAGGAATGATTAGACAAAGGAATATTTACCACAGATGTATTCAATTCCATTGAGAGATTTCAACTGTATTCAACTTGGGACTCACTAACTTACTTCAGATCAAAGCCAGGCATTTGATTCCCAAAATATTTACTATTGACAATTTTAAAACCCTAGAATTGAAAGCTAGTTAGCTTGACCCAATTACAATACAAAAACTTCCATTCCCTATTCAAACATTAACAGCAAATTGCTCCTTTGTAAAAAGCCAAGTAGTAAATGATCATAGGTGATGCTTGCCATTGTGTGAATATATACTACACCCTACAGGAGTGAGAGCATAAGGCTTTCCTTGTGATCCCAATCTACTACAGCAAATCTATAATAGAATACAACCAACCGTAATAGCTGAAACGGAAACAATGTGTTAAGTAGATTACTTACTTTTCATATTCTTCGTTGTCTTTATCACATCTAGCATCTTTGTGTTTTTCCCAGTCCTTTCCATGTTTACAAGTAGTTAATAAAATAATATCTTCCCCATTGTGTACGTGGTACAAAGCATTTCTGGTTTCAGACCCAATACCAGTTAGGTATCTTTTACCTTTAAAAACTAGCAAGTATTTTCTTGTAGGTGGCACATTATTGTACATAAGCCAGCCCCTCTCGCCTCCTTTTTGAGGATGATCTTTGGAAAATAACGGGATGGACACGTCAAAATTTGGTCTAAAGTTATCCATGCTGATACTGGCTTTGGCTAACATTGCCTGGCCGATATCAAACCCTAAATCTTCCGTATAATCAGGCCAGGTCCCTGAATACAGATTGAATATAAGGTGATTCCTCCCGTTATTCCAGAGTGGGAGGCTTTGAATTTTAGTTTTCACATTGTGAACGTATTGAAATGAGAGTTGATCTCTGTCCAAAGTATCGATGCTAAGGACGAACAAGCATGCCTGTCTCGGATCTGATGTATAGTACCGCGAATCCTCGATAATATTGATGATTTTCTGGTAACTTTCAGATATTTTCTCCCCCTTTTGAAGCGGGTACGCGTACACTTTGAAGCCGTTCCTCTGGCACAGTGATAAGTCAAAGCACGTCTCCATCCTGCATTTTCGATTCTTGTAAACGTTTTCCTTGATCTCTCTCCTCTCTCTGGGGAAAGTCCCGGGTTGACAGCAAGCTGGGCATCCTCCTCCTCCTCCTCTTCATCGCTTCGCCCATCCTCCGTGCCCACGTAGTTCCTCAAGGGGCTAATCCAGACGGGCCAGCGGCGTCTGATGGGGGGTGAGCCCTGATCTTTCAGGTCGCTGCGAAGGTGAGCGGGTGACAGTGATGAGGATGAGGAAGATGAGGGGGATTTCGAGGCCAGCTGTCGGAACTGCACTCCTCCCAGGTAGAAAAGCAGCAAAAGACAGGCGCCGAATGACACTAGAAGATACCTTTTCTTGGCCTGCATGTGGGCGAGCGGGGGGCCGCTGGAAACGGTGGGAAAAGGTGAAGAGGGGAGAAAGAGAGACAGACACTTTTGTGTTTCCATTAAAGTTCAACATGCACCATCGCATGCAACAGCAGAAGGAACTCGCGACCCATTCGGAATCAGATTATAATTATTATTATTTTTTAAAAAATATGTCAAGTTTCAATCTCAACATTTTAAAGTTTTTTTTTCACATGGGGGGAAAAAAAAGCAACACTCCCCCCCCACCCCCCACCCCTAAAAAAAAAATCTCCTTCCAGAGGCTGCTATTTATTTTTTATGAGGAAGCCCTCAAAGTTGCATGTTGCATGTGTGTGTGTGTGTGTGATGTGCAGTGCTGTTGTGTAGCTGCTCTAGGAGGAGGGGGTGACCCGAGTGTAACAGCCCCAAGACGGGGGCTGAGAGCAAAGCCCACGCCGCCGCCATATTGATGTGGTTGCTAAGGGGGAGAAGCAGCGGGTGGTGGTTCGGGATTTTTTTTTTTTTTTGGTGCATCCTCCACACACATCAAACACTAAATAATCGCCACCATTGCTGCGGAGCGACCCGTCCCGTCCCGTCCCGTCCCGCAGACACTGTGAGCCGCTCTCACACACAGTGCAGCAAGTGGCACTCGCTGCTGTTAAACGAAAATGACCTTGTTTTTAAAGCCACTCACACCGAAAAAAAGCAACACAGCCCCGAGAGACAGAGAGAGAGAGAGATGGAGGGGGGGGGGGGGGGGGGGGATACATTTTGTGATCTTTCCCATCTTTTTTTTTAAAAAAATGTATAAATTTCACCACCTTTCAACATTTTACTCACTCCCCGTCGACTGCTTTGTTATCAGTGATCACTCCTGTCCCACAAAACCGCCGGACGGGTACGTGCTCACACCCCCCCGTCGAATAAACAAATTCCAACCCAAAGACAAAAATTTGCCGAACGAAACGACTCCACTCACACCTCGAGCCCCCGCAGCCGTCCTGCAAGTTCGTGCCGTTTGCAAACTAAAGATATCGGCGGTTACTGTCCGTTCGTGTTATTCGGTCGGTCGGTCGGTCGGTCGGTTGTGTGCGTTATCTGTCTAAGTACCTGGGTCTTGTGTGGCGGTCACAGTGCAGGAGCCTGTCATCGGGAACAACTTTTTTCTTTCTTCGAGTGTTCTACTCTTCCTGAGAGAGTGACATTCATCCCGCGAGGCTGTCTCTCTTCGCCCGGAATCACAGTCCACTCACTCGTGTGTTATTATTTGGCTGATGTCCCCTTTTCGCCGGGTTGTCATCTGCAACAATCCGTCTCGCCCTCGGGGGTGGGTGGGGGGGGGGGGGTGGGGGGGGGGTTTAATCTCTTTCTCTATTCGCTTTTATTTTTTTTTAAAAAATCATTCGTTCGATTAGTTTTGGTTTTGGTTTTTTTTTAAAAAAAATTAAAAAAAATAATAAGCGAAGCTCTCCATCCGCTGGGACGACGGTGGGGTTGGTGGGTGGTGAGGGGGGTGAGGGGTGGGGGGGGGGGGGGCGGGAGCCTCAGATCCAACAGTAATACGGTAACACGGACTTTTCCTCGAGGATAATTTGTGAATTGTCCCTTTTTTTTGTCTGACAGAACTGACAGAAAGCAAATTCCATCACAGTGAGATCGCCTCTCACAAACGACAGCCGATCAAGACACGATGCCACGGGCTCAGAAAAGCAACATCGTGCACCGCTCCGCGTTCAGTTGTCCCCTTTTTTGTTGTTCAAAAAAAAGAAAAAGAAACTTTCCCCAAATCAGTCTCCGGGAACGAAGTCCTCATTTTGTTGGGAAGGCGGCGGGGAATGGGGGGGGAGGGAGGGAGGAGTAGGAGGAGAGAAGAGTTACTGCATTTCCTTGCGAGGAGAGTGGTTGGTTGTTGGTTGGTTGGTTGGTTGGTTGGAGGGTGGTGGGTGTGAGGATGAAAAATCACACTTTTCTTTAGGGGAAAAAAACCTCCTTCCCTCCCTCCCTCCCTCCCTCCCCACACACACACAAAGAATAAAACACTCCTTCAACTTTCAGAGCCGACCACAACTCCTGCCACGGTCCCAGCCTCACTGCGTGTGCAAGAACATGTACATATAGATGTACGCAACGTAGTAAATGTACAGCACCACATAGACATCCATGGAGGGGAAGGGGAGTGGGGGGGGGGGGGGGGGGGACTGAGGGGACGGTGAACACACACCGACTTGACTCCCCGGGCTCTGCAGCGAAGAGAGAAGGCAAGAAAACGCAGGTTGACTGAGCCGCCTCTTATTTTTGTTATATGTATATATAGTTTTAAAAAAATCCTCCTGTCAAGTCCCTTCTTCGTTATCCTGAAACAAGGAGAAATACAAATACAGACAGACAGACAGACAGAGGGAGATATAAAGGATCCCCAAATCGCCTGTGCCCTCAGCCCGACTCCTCACTGAGCAGCCAGTGTGTGTGTGTCAGTGTGTGTGTGTCAGTGTGTGTGTGTGTGTGAGGCTGAGCCATTCCCCGCAGTTTCTTTGCCTCTTTCCCCCTCTGTCTGTCGGTCTTTCCCCCTCTGTCTGTCTGTCTGTCTGTCTGTCTGTGTCCGTCTCTCTCTGTGTGTCTCTACGCGTGTGAATGAGAGAGAGAGGGAGAGAGGGAGATGCCTTCTCTCCGGGGAAGTCCCTCTTCCCTTTGTGCACGGTCGGTTATTCAGACATTTCTCGCCTCTCCTCTCCTCCCCTCCTCCTCCTCCTCTTCCTTCTCTCTCTCTCTCTGTGTCTCCCGGAGAAGCAGAAACAATGAACTGAACGGGCGGTTGTGGTTGTGGCGGTGTCGGCTGCCGCACACCTTCCTCTTCACTCGGTGTCCTCGCCTCTCGTTCGCTCTCTCTCTCTCGTGCGCTCTGTGGACAGACCGTTTATTTTACACCTCACGCGCACTGCTCCTCTCGCGCACTCCCCCCCCGCGCTCGAGCCGCTCACAACCTAACCTGATCGCTTTTTGCCTCCCGTTAGGTCGACTCGAACCCAGTCCCAGGGAAACGCGCTTCGGCAACTGGAACAATCTGCCACGTCAATCACCGCGCGCGCGCGCGCGCCCGCTCGCTCGCGCTCTCCCTCCACCGCCTCTCACGCGCACGCCCCGCCCCTCAGCGTCAAGTTAGATCGACCCGCACGCGGCTGTATTGACGATCCGTCCGAGGCGGTGCGCACACGTCATACCCGCCCCGCCCCCACCTCACCTCAATCCGCCGCACACACGTACCACCCGCCGCCGCCGCCGCTCCTCTCGCTCCCCATGGCTCTTAAAGGGGCAGAATTAGCCGATCCGCTTGTCATCTTAAAGGCGAAGTCGCGTCACGTGTGAAGGCAGGAATAAAATAACCTCCAAATGTAGTCGCAGGTGGATAGCTGTCATAATAAGTGCAATAAGAACAGCAACTGAAGAGACAGGAAAACAGCAAAGTTATAAATCAGTACAACACCCGACAACTTGCATCCTTCACGTAGGAATAACGTTTCAGAGCGCTTCACGGGGGATGAGCAAAAGACAAGAGGGAGTTGTCCATAGGCTTATTCAGTAGGCATTCGCCTAACAAATAGTCACTACACCTTACAATAAAAATAATAATAATAATCATCATCATTCTTGTGTTTGATATAGCGTCTTATCATGCCTTTCAATTTGCTTCACGGGATTTTACTTGCCATGTAGTGACTGTAGGCAAATGCAAAGGCCATCATGCACACAACAACAACAACAACAAGATTCCATTTATAAAGCGCCTTTCACGTCAGGAGGACGTCCCAAGGCGCTGCACAGTTGGGTCATGACCCGAGCAGGGGGGAAATGGTCAGGGTGAGGGGAGGGAAGGGAGGGAGCGAGGAGGGGGGAAATGGTCAGGGTGAGGGGAGGGAAGGGAGGGAGCGAGGAGGGGGAAGAGAGTCGAGAGGGGAGCTGAAGGCTCGGTCAAAGAGAAAGGTTTTGAGACCGGCCTTGAAGGAGGAAAGGGAGGAGGCGGCGAAGGCACTGGGGGATGGAGTTCCAGAGCCTGGGGCTGAGAGGCTGAAGGCCCGACCACCGATGGTAGGGCGGTTGGGGCGGGGGACGTGGAGCAGACCGGAGCCAGAGGAACGGAGGGTACGGGCAGGTAGGTAGGGGATAGTAGGTTGGAGAGGTAGGAGGGAGCAAGGCCGTGAATGGCCTTGTAGGTGAGGATGAGGATCTTGAAATCGATCCTCTGGGGGATGGGGAGCCAGTGGAGGCGGGCGAGGGTGGGAGTGATGTGGTCCGAAGCCTGGTGCGGGACACTACACGAGCTGCAGAGTTCTGAATGACCTGCAGCTTGTGGAGGGAGGTGGCGGGAAGGCCGGCGAGGAGAGAGTTCCCATAGTCCAGCCTTGAGGTGACAAAGGCGTGGATCAGGGTTTCAGCAGCGTGAGGGGTGAGGTAGTGCCGTAGTCTGGCAATGTTCCGAAGGTGATGGAAGGCGGTGCCAGTTGTAGTGCGGATGTGAGGGAGAAAGGACAGCTCAGGGACGAACAGAACGCCGAGGTTCCTGACTGGCTTTGAGAGGCACAATAATGTCCCACAAACATCCATGGAGTGAATGACCAATTTTATTTGGGGGATTGCTGGCCAGGACACCAGGAGAAATTGCTTTTCCGGGACTAATGATCCCTTCAAAAAATTAAATAATAATTTGGTCACTCAATCGATCCACGAATGTTTGTGGGACACTGCTGTCAAAATTGCCTGCCACATTTCGTTCACAAAATATGCAGTCAATTTACTGAACAGTATATCCTGTGAAGCGCTTTGAGACATCTCAAAGATGTGATAAGCGCTATATCAAATGCAAGTATTATTATTAGATCAATCAGTTTATGAATAAAAAATAGGAGCTGCTGAGCAAATTAATTTCTATTCAGGATTATCTGCAAATATAAAGCCTATGATTTTAACTGTTAAAATCTTATATAAGGTATATATTTTTCAAGCTACTCTATAATGCTTGATATCAGCTGGAATCCAAATTGATTCATATTTCATGCAAACAAGTCAAAATTTAAATGCACTATTATATTTCTAAGTATCAGTTGGGCCCAGTCTTCCATCACCTGAGTTGCAGCAACACCATAGTATTGTCAATACAGTTTTTCTTCTAAGATCTGGAACTTCAGGATTCAGACCAAATAGAACTTCAACCCTGGGAAACATAATAATATAATATTATAATCCTTGCATTTGATATAGCGCTTTTCACGTCTTCTCGACATCTCAAAGTGCTTCACAGAATATACTGTAAAGTGAATTGACTGTATATTTGTGGGTGAAACGCGGCAGCCAATTGCGCACAGCAGTGTCCCACAAACAGTCTTGGATTGCAAACGAACAATTAATTATTGTTTTGTTTTTGGAGGGATTATTATTAGGCATATGGAGTAAGGAAACTTGCCCAAGGTTTCGCCCTGACTAGACTAGATGTTCTTTGTTAGACAATTCTAATGACCGGTATCTCAAACCAAATGTCTCAAGTGAACAAAATAAACACAACATATTTTCTGGTGAAGACTGTAGGGCTTTTTAATTGGAGACATGGTAGCTAAATAGAAATGAACCTTTGGGACCATCCAATTTGAGTAAAATCAAGTTTCTGGGGTTTGTAAACAATTGGGCACTGTCCTTCATTAACATTGGGATGAAATGTAATTCAGGGGCTATTTATGCTTTCAGGAATATTTTGGTTGTGTTTGACTATTATTTCATCAGACTAGACTATATACAGTATTTGTCTATTGATATAGAAGTCTACAGGTCTGTCTCGGATGTTAGCACATCCTGTTGATTTGGTGATCGTATTACTCATTTTGCGTAGAAAATGTAATGTAATTCTAGGGGGAATGAAGTATTTCAAGTTATTTACTTTTTNCTCTATGTAAATAAGTACTGCTGCGTGTTGAAATGGACCCTTGATATTAACCCTGGCACTAGGAGTTGTTAGTTACACAAGGCAAGCTCACCAGAAAGGCAAAACTCTCTTTCTATATATATATTATATAAGCTTGTTCTAAAGAAAATCTTCAGGAAGGTGAAATCAGAGAAATGTATTTATATTTGGTTTGTGACCTTGAGAAAGTAAATAACGTCTGACTCACATGCCTACAGGAAATATGGACACGACTTTAGAAAGGAGGCTTCTTGTTTCAAGTTTACTATCAAAATATTTACCCAGATTTCTGAGGAGTAAGCCCAAGCTACAAGCAGCTGCTGCGCAAATGACTTTTTTTAAAAAAAAGATAGGTATTTCATAATAAATAC